TATTCAGAATCTGCTCCAATTCAGCTGTGTGAGCAGCCGACCAATGGCGTGACATACTTCAGGGCAGTATCAAATATGCATAAATTACCCAGAGAGCTTGTACCCTACGTTCCGCTCTTTTGTCGAGTCATCACCAAGTGAGTTGTATTATATGCATGCTGATTGGTTTGACAAAATATTGCAAAATGTCCTGAAGGGTTTCATGTGATGTTATGCACAGGAACTAATTGCTATTACTTGTAAAATCTGTATTAGAAGCTGCGGTTTCTATTAAAATGTACAATGTAACAGAGGGGATGCAGTTTCTATTAGAGCATCTACACTTATGAGAATTAGTGAATTTTTAGTTCTCAATTGTTCAAAAAGAATGGGTGCGACTTCTATCAGGGGTGCAGCTTCTAATACAGATTGTACGGTATCTGCGTTGTGTGCACTTTTGTTTTTCCTTAAAATTTCACAAAATAGGATGTAAATATAAGATTATAGGCAAAATTCACTCAACTTGTGTACAAAATAAATGTTACCATCCAGAGCACATCTATCCATCCGCGAAAATTCATGTAGGTGTCTTGTCCTCATTGTCAGTATGCATGTGTATGATTGATCATCGCATGGAGACATAGCATTTGATTTGTATTCAGATAAACAATGTTTAGTTGAAATTTAAATCAAAATATACTGATTATGCTCTTGATACAAAAATTATTATAATTAGGCTTGTTTTGTTGATGATTTTCAATGACATTATATTTTCAATATTTTGATAAAATTCATCTCACGCATAATTAAAATACTGTGAACTGCATTAATTTCCATTATGAAAATTCTAAGCTCCAAAGATTAAATGGTTTACAGTATCTAGTTTATTGACTTGCTCAGTTACCATACATTTTTTTTCTTTCAAGAATTGGTGCTGGGGTCATGAGTCATCACAATCTTGCACATGAAGAAGAATTGAAAACAGGTGGACTGGGTGTTGGCTTACACACATCATTACATCCTAGCCATATGAATATTCATGATGAGGTAAGGTTGCTATGGCAATTTTATGAATATTCATTAGTATGTAATGAGTAATGGGCTCAAGATTTTTTGTCCTACATACATCACATTCAGCTGAATATTCATTGATAAATATAATTTTTGCATAATCACATTATGGGCTGCATGAGCTGAAAAAGTTGAACTCTTGCCCAACACAAGAAGTTGAATATTGAATTTGAAGAAATGCCTTCTTGGACAAAAGTGTGCAATCTCTTATAATTGCATGATTACACCTCTAAAAAAAAAGAGGGGGCTGGGTCTTAAGACATATACCTACCTACCTAAGTAATATGGCATTCCTGATTCAAACAGTATTTATTCACGTACAACATTGCATTTTGTATGGTATGATCCATATATATTGTACATTACAAAACGTTACCACATTTATCTGAAACATCGCCCCCTGCAAAAGATCGCGCATAAGCGATGTAAAAGTACTGGGGTGATTTGTTGGTGCTTATAAATATTGCTGTGATATTAAAGTTACGCCAACAATGGATACCAATACTCTTGTTTTTCAAAAAAATATACTGTAAATTATTTTATTTCCGCTTGGAATTTATTTTCGCTATTTTCGCTGAAGGAATGTTTCAGTGAAAATAAAATCCAGCGAATATACTTTTTTTCCTATTCAACTCATCAAAAAACAGTGAAAATAAATCGCATACAAAAAAAACCAAATGCTTTTTCAGCAAAAA